CCCTGGCAGTGTTCACAGCCAGGTTGGATGAGCCTTGAGCAACCTGCTCTGGTGGGAGGTGTCCCTGCCCAGGGCAGGGAGCTGGGACTAGATGATCTATAAGGTCCATTCCAACCCCTAAATTTCCATGATTCTATGAGGAGCTTTTTATTATGAAAGAATTATTTTGTTAGCTGAAGAATCTCTTTTATCTATAAGGAGAATCTTTGTCTGGGGTTAATATTTCAAAATACTCTTATTCTACTGAAATAATAATAGTGCAGTGATTGTTAATCTTGAATAATGCTGTTATTGATTTGTAAGATGACACAAGGTGTGAGAGCCTGAGTCTGACCAGGGTCCCACCACTGATGGCACAGCACATGAGGATCCCAGCCATGAGGACTTTTACAGCTCAAGTCCTTGTGCAGGCATTTTTTCCATATGAAAATGAAAGATCTTAATTCAATAGGAAGTCTGACTCTGTAGTATTCCTAGGCTATGCAAGAGCTGGTGGATATGGGAATGGTGAAAGCCATTGGAGTTTCCAACTTCAACTGCCAACAGCTGGATCGGCTCCTGAGCAAACCAGGCTTGAGATACCAACCTGCAAATAATCAGGTACATTGATCTCTGACTCCTCAGTACTGACATCTCACCTGCCAGGGATGTTTTATTGGATGGAACATCACTGGAAGTAAAATACCTTCTATGTTAAGGCTGTGCTTTTCCATACAAATTGGTGTGGGGGTTTGGTAGGTCACTGCAGTGATGCTAAACCTTGAAGTACCTTCTGCTTCTGAGAGGTGAAAGCTAATTTTACTTGGTTCTTGTAGATTGAGAGCCACCCTTGCCTTCCTCAGGAAGAGCTGGTTAAGTTTTGCCAATCCAAAGGGATCTCTGTCACTGCATATTGTCCCCTTGGAGCACCCAACTGGCCATGGTAAGAACGTTTTGTGAGACACTTCTTTCTTAGATATAGGATATAACCAGTCTTAGGATGTGGATGAAACTTCACAGAGTAAACTGATGTGATTGAATAAGATGTACTAATTCATTAAAAATCACAGACAGAGGAACTCCTAACACACTTTTTGTGGTACTCAGTCCACTAATTCATACCCTTGCTGTTACTGCACTTTCATATTTAAAGGAAAAAGGATCTATTGGTTGGTCAAAGTAGTGAAGAGAATTCTTAATTGAGCTTATTAAACATGTAAGAGAACTGAATTAAAAAACAACACAAAACAAAAAACAAAGCAGCATATACTTATGGAAATAGTTTTGCAGTCTTGCTGAGGAAAAGGGATTAGGTTTTTAAATGGATGACTTGCAGGAATTTGGTTTTTACTCCAGTCTTCATGGCTTTCTCTGAGCTGGGACAGGGTGTTTGCAGGGCAGTTGTGCTTGTGAAGGACACGACTGCTGCTCATTGTCAGGATGAAATTTTTGGGATCTGGATCAAAGAAATTCCCAGCCTGAACTGAAATGTGTTATTGACCTGTTGTACTAGAACCTATAGGCCTCTTGTGGTGTGCCAGCCTGTGATAAGAGAATGAAGGCAGGGGTGAAGCAACAAGAAGCTGTGAATTAAAGTGTGCAAGATGATGCTTTTTTAATCCATTAAATAATATTCTCACACTACAGTGCCTGAGGGAGAAGACAGGAGGGCATTCAGCTGCTGATCTGCTTTTTATTTTCACAGGTCCAAGCCTGGACACATTTCCCTTTTCGATGACCCTCAGATTAAGGAAATCGCACTCAAGCACAACAAAACTCCAGCTCAGGTTAACACTGCTCACAGTATTTTCCCTGGTGACATGTATTTTTCCCCACTTGTGCTGAAGTAACTATTTGCAGAGGTATTACAGAAAGCTGAGTTCCAGCTATGTCTCATACATATTTTAATGCCTTAAAAAATATTCTCTCTACATTAGTTTTAATGAGGGACAGAAGGTTAGCAATGGGTTTAACTGGCACACCAGCTACTTCTCCACCCTGCATTAAAAATCCCTGCCAGAACTCTTGCTCCAGGTATCCTCATACTGTCATGCTGGACAAGGATTTAATCATTAGGAAGGGTTTGTGGTGGTGCCTCTGCTATGGGAGCCAACTCTAACTACCAGCAGAGCTGTTCCATGTGCCCAATGCAGCCATGTACAGCTTTTGGCTTGCAGAAGACAGACAGCACTTCTCATCAATCAGGCTCAGTGCTGGTCCTGCCCTTGGCACACAACAAGAGCTCCAGGCTGGGGGAGGTGTTGGTCACACAGGGACTTGGCAGTGCTGGTGGCACAG